CAAATAAGATAGGCTTTGAAAAAACAAGCATATACAATAAGCATCTTCTACTTTGAGACACCTTGCTGAACATGTACATGAATTAGTGATGTCAATTTTAAGGAGCTTGCAGGAAATGGCTTGAGATAGTAAAGGTTAAAGTGGCTGAAGATGAGTGGAGGATTATGAAGTAGTTGAGGTGCCTACTTTGTACAAGATGCTTTGTTACCACAACCCAAATGGAGCAAAACCTACTCTGTAACTCCAGGCAGCTTCACTGGCATTTGGTTCTCATTCCTAAATGCTAATCTGTTCAGTTGGTCCCTAGCCAGTACTGAGATAGACTAGAGGTTGGGGGAAGGAACCAAGCAAAGGAAAAGTGAAAAGAAAATACGAATAAGACATAGAATTGTCTGGAGATAGAAATATATGGTATTACCATTTTTAAGGCATTTTACAGTTTACATAACATACTTTGGTATAAATTGTATTATTAGTTCCATGTTACAGATTAAGAAATTGAAGCTACACGTCACTCAGCTAGCAAGTGGTAGGGACAGCAGACATTCTGGGAACATGAGTTTTCTGATTGCTTCTGTTCTTTCAGGGAAGTATACAGCAGAGTCATCAACTGAGAATAAGGAGGAGGGAAGGAGGTGTCGGAGATCAGAGAAATGAGGAGAAGGCGAGGAACAATCTCCTAGGGGCTTAGGAGCATGAATGGGATATTTAACAGTATTGACAGGCAACATCAAGAACCCACCTTGGTTAAGTGATCATAGATTTAAAGTCCAACCAGTGAGAAGCTCATTCAGCTTCTCACATTCAGGCATTGACTTGGTTTCGCCCAGGACTAGAATTTTCCTAAGTGACCATGAATATATGTATTCTTAATACCCTGCCCCGCCTGCTCTCTGAAAACTAATGAACTCTCCAGGCCCCAGTTTAAAGCCAGTATCTCCACAGGTACACTGGATCCCATTTCCTCTCAAGATACCACTCACTGCTGAAAAGATGTCGCTCACTGCTGAAATTGATGATAATGAATAACATAACATAATCTAATCCAGAAAGGAAGGAAGCAAAGACATGGGTATCAGGGACTCCTGCGAGATAGAATAAGAAGGTGGTGCATTTGGGAGGTCTAAAGGGGTTACTGAATTATTGGAATTAGAATCAAAGGGATGGCCAGTACAGTGGCTCATGCCTGTAATCCCAGCATGTTGGGAGTCTGAGGCAGGTGGATCACTTGAGGCCAGGAGTTCAAGACCAGCCTAGCCAACATGGCAAAATCCCATCTCTACTAAAAATACAAAAATTAGCCAGGTATGGTGACATATGCCTGTAATCCCAGCTACTCAGGAGGCTGAGGCACAAGAATCACTTGAACCCAGTAGGCGAAGGTTGCAGTGAGCCAAGAACATGCCACTATCCTCCAGTTTGGGTGACAGAGAGAGAGCCTGTCTTAAAAAAAAAAAAAAGAAAAAACAAAGAGAAATGTAAATACATATCTACCTATTGTGTACTCACAGAAATTAAAATTAAAAATAAGTAAAATCAAAGGGAAAGATTTGAAATGGCAGCCTGAGAGTAGCATACTTAAACTCAGATTCGAAAGAGTTCAGTCATTATAATGGCAAGATTATAGAGTGTGACCATGGAAGAAGATAAATGAGTTGGAGTGAATAGTAAGATTGTTGAAGGAGAAGAGGACAAGGAACTGAGAGCCCATTGTATTGGAAGGATCATCTATTTGAAGATTGATTTAATCAAGAAGCAGGGGTCAACAGCAGTGAGCAAACCTAGTGCCCAGATCTTGGTCTCTAATTCCATTTTCCACTAAAAGGAACCAGAACTCTTTGGAGATATGGCTGATGCCAGATAAAAGTATTTCATCAATGTAAATCTGTGAAATTGATAACAACTTTGGTTTTGTAAGAAAATATCCTTATTAGGAAATACACACATTGAAATATTTAAGGGTAAATATAAAAGGCCATAATGTATGTATAATTCAGAAAACAAATTATGCACATTCCTGTATGTGACAGAGAGAGAGAGAGAATACAAATGATAAAGCAAACGGGATAAAATGTAACAATCGGTAAATCCAGATAGAGAACATACAGTATTCCTCGTACTGTTTTTATTTTTGCAACTTTCTGTAAATTTGAGATTACAGTGGCATGGGTCCACTTATACACAGATTTTTTTCAACCAAAGGCAGATCAAAAGTACCATATTCATGGGATATAAAACCTGTATATATAGAGAGCCAACTTTTGCTGTACACAGGTTCCTCAGGACCCACCGTGGGACTTGAATATGTGTGGATTTAGGTGGGGGGGGGTGGGTGTTATGGTCCTGAAATCAATCCTCCTTGTATACTGAGGGGAGACTATATTTCCAAAAAAACAAAAACTACGACAAGAGTGGTACTGGAGAGAGATACACGGTCATCCACTTAGCTAAGTGTTGGACTTGGACTGATTATATTCTGTGCAGTAAAATCAGGATAAGCAGCAGATTATTTACATCTCCAGTCTTTTGGAAACTTACATTTTCACTTTGATATTTTTATTTTGTTCTTTGTTTTTGGCATAATGACGTTTCATTTTTAGTTCTTTTATGTCAATAACGTTTTATACCCAAAACTATAATATTCTTTTTATATAGCTTTATAGGTCTTTTGAACTTAAGTCATCTCTTAACCTTCATTTTCACAAGGTTCTCAGAGCATCAGTCAATAACCTTGGAAGTCTGGGATTCTTTCTATGCTTTTTTAAAAAACAGTTTTATTAAGATATAATTCACATATCATATAACTCACCCATTAAAGTGTACAAGTCAGTGGTTTTTAGTATATTCACAGTCAATTTTAAAACATTTCATCACCCCAATAAGCAACCTCATACCAGTTAGCGCTCACTCCTCATATACACCACTGCCCCACTGCAATTTCCAATCGACTTTTGCACATATAGATTTGCCTAATCTGGATATTTCATATAAATGTAACCATTTAATATATGGCTTTTGTGGTTGTTTTTTTCACATAGAATAATGTTTTCAGAATTCACCTATGTTGTAGTTTGTATCAGAGCTTTATTCCTTTGTGTTGCTAAGTAATGTTCCATTGTGTGGTTATTCTACATTTTATTTGTCAGTTGGTTGACATTTGGGTTTCTATTTTGTTATTATGAATAAATGCTGCTATGAATATTTGTGTACAGATTTTTGTGTGAACATATGTTTTTATTTCTCTTACATATATCACTAGGAGTTGAGCTGCTGTGTCACATAGTCACTCTGTATCTACCTTTGAGGAAAGACCAGATTGTTTCCAAGCAGCTCCTCCAATTTTACATTCCCACCAGCAATGTGTGAGGGTTCAGTTTTTCTACATCCTGGCCAGCATTTGTTATTACCTGTCTTCCTGATAATAGCATCCAAGAGGGTGTGACGTGGACCTGTCTATACTTTTAAACCCCCAAAATATGATCAGTCCTCAATAATAAAAGATCTCTACCCTTTTCTAGCAGCAAGCATATCTCCTCATTAAATACTGAACACACAAAGAAAATTGAAATAAAATAACATAAAAATTCTTACATATCTAGCAGCAGGCATATCTCCTCATTAAATACTGAGCACACAAAACAAATTGAAATAAAATAACATAAAAATTCTTTCCCTTTCCCATATCTTTGTTCTTCAAAATTGATTGGAGAGACTCTCAAGAGAAGTAAGAGAGATTGGATTTTTAAAATTGTACAGCTAGAGCTTATAACATTTAAATGCCCATTATAGTCAGATGTATATTTAGCATCTGATCCCCCCGCCCCAAGTCTGCCATACCCACTGATGCCACTCACCATGGCCACTTACACTTTCAGAGTGCCTTATTCAGGAGCCTTTCCCCATCCTTACCTTGGCACAGACCCCATCATTTGCTTTCTCTTGGGAGCTCAGTTTCTATTAGTATTAGTTCATCATATTATTGATTAAGTTGGATTTTGTGGACTCTTGTAAGTGCTTAAGCATTATCTTTTTAACATAGTTCTACAGGAAAATAAATATATTTTCAGGTCACCACCTTAGAACACAGCTTGTTTGCAAGTTTGTCATTATCTGTGTCCATGAGGAAAGTCAAAATAAATTGGAGTTGTTTAACTTGGTTATGCTTCCTATGTCCTGATCAAGTTTAATTTATCTTTAAATAATAATTGTTATAGAGGATTGGATTAAAATCTGATCAATATGAGAATGGTTGATATATTTTTTCTTAAATTTGAACCATGACAGTTAGAGATAATAAAGCATTCCATGTCCCTTTCCCTAAAACTCATGAATTTAGAAGTAAATTAAAGGTCAAGTGTAGAAAGGTTTTAATACCACGTCTACTGATAATCTATACACAGTATAATTTGGGGCTTTTTTTAATCTATAAAAAATCAAAGTTATACCCTCTTTGCACCATTCATTTCATTAGTGTATTAGGATGGCTGTCAGTTATACATGGGAGTTAGGTTTATTTTTATTTATTTCTCTAACCATCCCCTTTTTCCCTCTTTCCCCTCTCTGTCTTCTCTCCTTTCCTCCTTCTTTATTTGCGGGCTTATTTCTGAGTATTTGAATAGAAAGAAGCCCAGTTGGCAGTTGCCAGAAGGTATTCCTTAGGATTACTATGTTATTATATCAAAATAATAGCACACATGGGGCATTTGGGTCACACCTGCCTCAAGAGTTCATCAGCTGTGAAGTACTAACGGAGCCGTCCATGCAGGACCAATTGTACTTCCACATCCATGTTGTTTTCTCTACACAGATTGCTGGCTTTACCTCAAGTCCAAAGCTTTAACTTGACCTGACTATTTCCAGTTAACATTCTCTTTGTCAGAGGGGCATGAACTTCTCCCCCCTTAAAGAATGTGTGTGTGTGTGTGTGTGTGTATGTGTATGTGTGTGTGTGTGTGTGAATTATCATTTTGACACATTCTTTCGATGTTGAATTCTTACAGCTCTCCACACAAGGAGATGCAAGTCAGGTGATTGGGCCTCTTACTGAAGGACAGAGAAGAAATGTGGCAGTAGTGAATTCATTGTATAAGTTGCACCAATCAGTAACAAAGGTAACTTTTATTAAGTTTTTTTTACTTAGTTTTAAATTCTTCTTCTTGCCTCAAATTTGGACAGTTTACAAATTGTTATTTAATACTTTGGAAAAGAATACAATGAAAATATGTTGATTATAACATTAAGGAGTTAACTCTTTTAAACAGTCTTTGATTCTGGCCTTCATTGTTTGTATGACTTTTTGTTTGTACATTCAGTTTAAAACACATGAACTGTAGATCCTCAAGTTAATTAAGTTTATTGAGCAAATTATTGGAGGACAAATCATACATATTTCATACTTATTGAAATGTGTAATTTGATATAGTGTGGATGATAGTAAATTATAGCAAAGCTGATGACAGAATAAGAATGCTGAAGCCCTCCAACATGTCAAAAATGTTCTATTAATATCTTTGCGTTAAAAAGTCAGGGAGGAACTGTATTAAAAACTGAATTTTTATGATATAATCACTGATGAATGCTTACAAATAGATAATGTGTATTCATTTTGCTGTTTTTCTACTAGGCATTTAAAAGAAATGGCTGAACCTTAACTTGTTTGCCTCCATATATTATGTCTAAGGTGAACTGTATTGTTAATTACTAAAAAAGCAACACTTCCAAGTCCATCTGTGACTTTGGAGTAGCTTGTGCTTAATTATTCTCTATAGGTCATTTTTGAAATATGTTATAAATAGGAAGATAACAATTTAGAAGACCTGAAGAAAGCTAATGGTTAAATGATGTTCTTGAAAACTTGACTTATAGTATAAGCTTTAATAACTAGATTGTGTTTTAGAATAATTCTAAGTGACTGTTACTCACTTATTTAAAGATTTTAACAAGTCCTTTGATCAATTAGGGGTTTCTAAAAATGTGTATTTTACACACTAAACAAAAGGCATGTTAAAGAGTTATTAACAGGTAAATCTCAGAAATGATGTATTTTCCATTTTCTTTAATCATTACTCCAAAGCACCATAAGCAAGGAAAGATTGTGTTCTATCTAGCCTACTTTAAATGTCTTTATTGATATTTTCAAAATTTTCATGATGTTTGTATTGATTTGTAAAAATTGAAATGCTGACATTTTTATTTTAAAGACTTGTTGGAAATTAGAGTCAGCCTAAAGACATGAGTGAAAGAAATGAGTAAATATGGCTTTATTCTGACCTTTTCCAGTTTAAACTTTATAATTAAAACCTATGTAACATGAATAAAGGAAACCTAGCTCTCAGTATTTATTATTGTTATTTGAAGTATGTATTTTCTTTATAGACAAAATTATTTTTCAACCTATCTTAATAAATACTGATTTTTAAAATCATGTATAAGATATTACTATAAAGCAATGATAATATTGTATATATAGTTTGTGGAAACAGCTTTATTATGCTATGATGAAAATTAGTATTTACAGAAATAGACTTAAGCAAAACTATAACTGGATCAAAACCTTGTTCTAGGTTGTTTCCAGTCAGAGCTCATTCCCACCGGCAGCTGAGCAAACTATAATTTCAGCTCTAAAGGTAAAAGAATTTAATCTTTGACTCTATAGATCAAAGTGGTTTTAGGATTATTTGTTTTGCTGAGTGGGAAATGTTACATTTTATAATTCAGAATCCTGTATATATACAAAAGTAGCATGTTTATAATTATCCTAAAGAGAGTAGATAACGAGAGTGTTTATGTTTTCTAGAATTTAAAAATAGACCCTTTTGGTGTCTACAGATTGTGTTCTACTTATGACAGTTATATATATAGAAGCAAGAGTCTTTTTTGTTGTTGTTTATATTTTCTTTTTTATTTTTTATTATACTTTTAAGTTCTAGGGTACATGTGCACAGCATGCAGGTTTGTTACATATGTATACATGTACCATGTTGGTGTGCTGCACCCATTAACTCGTCATTTACATTAGGTATATCTCCTAATGCTATCCCTCCCCCCTCCTACACCGTGGAATACTATGCAGCCATAAAAAAGGATGAGTTTATGTCCTTTGTAGGGACATGGTTGCAGATGGAAACCATCATTCTCAGCAAACTATTGCAAGAACAGAAAACCAAACAGCGCATGTTCTCACTTATAGGTGGGAATTGAACAATGAGAACACTTGGACACAGGAAGGGGAACATCACACACCGGGGCCTGTTGTTAGAAGCAAGAGTCTTACATGTATTTATCTAATGGCAGTACAACCCAGTATTATTCCAGTAAAGCAATGGTTCTCCACCAGAATCATTTTGTCCCCTAGGTGGCATTTGACAGCATCTGGAGACATTCTGGATTGTCATGACAAGGTGGAGATGCTACTGACATCTAGTGAGTAGAGGCCAAGGATTTTGCTGAACATTTTGCGATGCATAGGACAATGCCCACCCCTCTCTCATAAGAGAATTTTCCAGTCCAAAATGTCAGTAATGCCAAGGTTGAGAAACCCCACTTTAAACTGAGGCATAAAACCAGAATGTATTCTCATTTTTTATATACAAACATAAGTATACCCCCTTTCTATTATTTAGGAAATTTCATAGAAAATAATGGTATGAGATTCAGAGCCATATGTAGTTGACAGTATCTCTTTTAAAAGCAGGCAAATTATTCATTCTTACAACAGTACTAGAGAGGTACATTTTGAAATATTACTACAACCCTTCAAGTTATGTATTTGTATTCCCACTTTATACATCTTAGAAATAATATCTTGCTCAAGGTCATATCGCTGGTAAATGCAGACCTCATTAACTCTAAAGAGTTATGTCTACTACACTTTGCCACCATCATTCCTGTATTTGCTAATATTTATTCAGTACTTGGTAAGTAAGTAACTAAGGCCATATAGCATAGACTCTGGAGCCAAACTACCTGTATATGAATCCCATCTCAGCTATTTAACCAGCTATATGGTTAAATAAGCTCAAATGACCTCAAACAAGTAAATAAGCTCTCTATTGCCTTAGTTTCTGCATCTATAAAATGGTACAATAAACCTACACAAAGGTAATAGATTTCAACTATTATATTGGATTTACATCTCTAAGGGAGAGTTTTAAAATTGAGATGAAAGTCTAGAAGTAAACCCTAAGGAGAAACACATATTTAGAGAAAAGAGGAAACAAGGAAAGAACAATCAGAAGAAGGAAGAAAATTAGGAGAATACTGTGTCACAAATCCTAGAGGGGAGGGGAGCTTCTAAAGTCAAATGCTTTAGAATTTACAGGGAATGAGGATTTAACAGGCACCAAAATATAACTAAATTCATATATGAATGGATTGATTCATTGAGGGTAAGAGAAGGAGACAGTCTATTTTCCCCCAATGTATTAAAAGTACACTTGTATGCTTTCTCTATATCCCTTTTTCCCCCAATGTGCTTTAAATATTTTTCCATAATAAAATAATTGTTTTTAGTAAGGTTGGCATACGTATCGTTGATCATAACATCAGGTCAATACAACAAGCCTTAAAGTCTTAACATTCTTGGTTCCAGACAGGGAATGGATACTCTTCTATAATTCCATATTTTTTTCTTCTAGCAGTAACTATCAAACACTTTTTGATAACTACCCAAAATAAGTACATTTTACTTTGTGCCCTCATACATAATACATAAGCATTTATAAATATATATACACGTATGTAATTGCATAAAGTGTACTTCTCTACACATTTATGATTGATACAGAAGTTTCACAAAATAATACTTATCCTTATTTTGTGTATGCATTCTAATATTTTCTATGCTAGTGTATTACTCTTTAAAACATCACGATAGTGACCACTGAATTGATTTTTTTGACCTCTAATGGTCCGACACAACCCATAGTTTCAGAAAGTCCATTCTCTGGATTAAGACAGAGTGCCTTCACTTTGATGATAAAAATCACTTGGAGAGTTAAAAATAGAAATTACTCATGGACTGTTTTCAGTATAGGGTAGTTTCTCTGAATCTTTATTTTTAACAGACAACAAAGATTATTCTTTTAATATTAGTCACTTTAGGCAGGGAGCTGGAGTCAGTGCAGGGAAAACTGCCCTAATCTTGGGCTGTAGCTGTCACTCTAAGGTTTGCTTACCAGGACCAGTGCTGTGTGTAGCTGGGTCTGTACTTCACTAAGATATACCAATTTTGCCTTTATGAACTGGATAACAGAAGACTAGCAATAAGTACAAGGCCCTCCTGCAGTGACCTCATCAGTTGGAGACTTCACTGCTCATGTTAATACACTCACTGAAAGTTTTAACTTTGCTCTTTAAGTCTTATAAAAAAACTGTTATGACTTATTAAGTGAAAAACAAAACCCCTGACTTAGAATAAAAAGGAACGTTGAAATTTCATACAATTGTTGGAAATTTAATAAATCACTTTGAATTCAAGGTAGAAAGTTATGATGTATAAATGCCTGCAGCCCAAACCAGAAATCTGTTTGATTTTATTTGATAGACAAGATATGAAACGTACTTTTTAACTTACTGAAAAATATATAGACTTATAACAGTCTTTTCTTCTCTACCTTGAGATTTTATCCAAAATTAAATGTTATTTTAGGCTTGAGGTTCATCATTACATATTCTTTTTTTTCATTTATTCAGAAATATTTATTGTCTATCATATGCCAGGTATTAGTGATACACAGTGAAAGTAACAAATAAAGTCCTTTCCCGTGTAGAGCTTTTATTGTCGTGAGGAGCCCAGTGGTGACAAGTGCTATGATAAAAAATAGAGCACAGTAAAGGATAGAGAATGGGGATGGAAGGAAAGTGCTATTTTATATAGGCTTCTCCAATCAAGAGACATTTTAACAAAAATCTGAAGGAACTGAAGGAGTGAGCCAAGCAGCCATCTGGGGCAAGTGTTCCAGGAATAGAGACCTGAATTGGACAGGCTTGTAATAGTCACAGAACAGCCAGGAGGCCAGAGTGGCTGGAACAGAGTGAGTGAGAGCAGAGGAGCAGGAGTGAAGTTGGAGAGGGAGCAGAGCAGGGTTGGGGTGGCGAGCAGAACGTGCAGTCTCCATCATCACATATTCTAAAAATTGTCTAATATGTCATGAATGGCATAATTAATATTGAGTATACATTTAGAGTTATTTCATTATAACCACCATAGCTATATAAGTACCATTTAAACCCCTTGGCCCAATAATTCTGATCCATTTTTTTTTGAGATTTGTCTTGTGCAGATAGTGATTACGTTGCCAAATTTATATATGGCAATGCTTCTTTCTCCCTTTTTGTGTGGGTTTGATGTTCTATATAAAGGAATATTCCAGATTGCTGAGGCTCCAATATTTTTGTAATTTTAACTATTTTAGGTAAATCTTTTTAAAATGTATAACATATTTCCCTGCGTTGTAAAGAGCATATGAAATATAATCTAATCTCCTTTCTCAGTTTCCTTGTTAGTTGTTAGTTTCTATCCATCCTTAAAATGAAGGCATTCCCCAAGATGCTCTCTTCTCTTCCTATTTCATATTTTCCCTAAGTGGGAAACCTCACGCAGCAGTACAGTTTTCTCTGTAAACCACCATTTCTTATGCAAATAGAGATTTTTATTTCTTACTTTCTGATCTTTATGCCTGTTTTTCCATGCCTTGTTTCACTGTCCAGGATCTGCAGTACAGTGTTGAATAGAACTGGTGAGAATGGACCTCATTTACTTGTTTCTGACCTGGGGGTAAAGCATTCAGTATTTTACTGTTTTAAGTATAGTATTAGCTATAGGTTAATGATATAATAATGTTAGCTGTAGGTTTTTGATAGATGACCTTTGTCAGACTAAACAAGTTCCCTTCTATTCTTAGTTTTCTATTTTTTATTATAAATGGTGTTGAGTTTCATTAAATAGCTTTTTCCACATCTATTGAAATAATCATATAGCTCTACTCTTTTATTCTGCTAATGAAGTATATTATAGTAATTTATTTTCAAATATCAAACCAACCTTAGTCATGATGTATTACCCTTTTTATGTATGGCTGGATATTTAATGTATCTTTTTATGTATTCCTGGATACTGGTTTACTTAATTTTTATTAAGGATACTTACATCTATATTCATAAGGAATATTGTCATAAAATTTTCTGTCTTTATTTGGTTTTGGTAGCAAGTTAGTACTGGCTTCACTAAATTAGTTTGAAAGTGTTTCCTCCTCTTCTGTTTCCTAGAAGAGTTTGTGTAGAATTTGTTTTTGTTTTTGTTTTCGTTTTTTCCTGAAGTGTTTAGTAGAAGTCACCAGTGAAGCCATCTGGGCCTGTAGTTTTCTCTGTAGAAAGGCTTATAACTACACATTAATTCATTTAATAGAGAAAGGGCTATTTGTGGTATCTATTCTTTTTGAATGAGCTTTGATATTTTGTGACGTTGAAGGTATTTATCTACTCATCTTAATTATCTAATTTGTCAGAAAAATCTATGTAATACTTACTATCCTTTTGTGGTTTGTTTAAAGACAGGATTCCACTATGCTGCCCAGGCTGGAGTGCAGTGGCTATTCACTGGCACGATTATGGCGTGCTACAGCCTTGAACTCCTGTGCTCAAGGGATCCTTCTGCCTGAGCCTTTGAAGTGGCTGGGACTACAGTCATAAACCACCGTGCTGAGCTCACTTAACTGTCTTTTTGATGTCTTTGGGACCTATAAGAATAACCTGTTTTTCATTTTTGATATTGTTGATTTGTGTTCTCTTCTGTTTTTTTCTCGATCAATCTAGCTAGGAGTTTAGCAACTGTGTTAATCTTTTCAGTGAAACAGCTTTTAGCTTTATTAGTTTTCTCTGTTTTCTATTTCATAGATTTCTGCTTTTATCTTTTTTTATTTTCTTCTTTTTGTTAGTTTCAATATTTTCTGTTTATCTTTGGATTTATGAGTTTTCTTTGCTATTTTTTAAGATTATTTGAGACTTTACATCAGTAATTTTAGACCACTTTCCCCACAAATAAACATTTAACATTGTAAATTTTCCACTAGCACTGCAATTTTTCTGTGAATACTTGTATCTTCATTCAGGTTGAAATATTTTTCTAATTTCCTTTGTGATTTCTTATTTGAGTCATGGATTATTTAGAAATGTGTTTTTAAAATTTCTAATTACTTTTGGGTTCTGCATATATCTTGTTACTGATTTCTAATTTAATTCTGATAACAGAATTAAATGTTGATGATTTTACCTTTTTTTAAGCAAAAGCAAGTCTATTAAGAAAATAAACAAAAGAATGGATACTTCATAGGCAGAGCAGCCAAATGATGATCTTTAATGATTATTTTAAATCATCATTTAAAATCTGATGAGTTTAAATTAAATTTTATCATGTGAGTGTGATGGCAAAGAACACTGCTAATTTTCTTTTGCCAGAAATGTATTTCACTTCATCTTTGAAAGATATTTATACAGAAAATAGAAATACGGGTTTGAGAGATATTTTTCTCTCAGCACTTAAAATATGTTCCACTGTTTTCTGGCCTCCATGCTTTCTGATAAGAAGTTATTACTTATTAAAATTAATTCCCTTGTATGTAATCTTTTTTTTTTTTTCTTTTTGGCTAGTTTCAAGATTTTCTGTTTACCTTTGCTTTTCAGCAGTTTATGATGTGCATAGTTCTCACAAAATTATCCTGTTTGTGATCTGCTGATTTTCCTGAATCTGTAAATTCGTGCTTTTCATTATTTTGGGAAGTATGAGGCCTTTTTCCCTCCCAAGTAGTTTTGCTGCCTCATTCTCTCTCTGCCCCATTATTTTTTCTTCTTACAGGACTCCAGTGACCAGTATATTAGATATTTTGCAGTTGTTTCATAGGTTTAATTATTTTTTAGTGTTTTTTTCTCTTCTCCTCCAGAGAGATTTCTGTTAATTCTATCTTAAGGTTCATTGACTCTTTCCTCTGTCATCTGTATGCATAATTCTTCTACTAAGCCTATCCAGTGAATTTTACAATTTCAGATACTATATTATTTTAGTTTAAAATTACCTTTTTAAAATATATATCTTCATTCACTCTACTGAGATTTCCTATTATTTTATTTATTGTGAGCATATTTTTCCTTGCCTCATTGAGGTTCTTGCCTGATAATTCTAGAGTCCGGTTCATCTCAGGGTTAGCATCTCTTGATTGTCTTTTCCCTTGAGAATTGATAAAATTTTATATGTCTAGTAATTTTGAATAAATCCTGAACACTGTGAATGTTATGTTGTGTAGAAACAGGATTTTTTTTTCTTTTTTTTTACATTTCTTATAAGCATGTTGGTAATTTTGCTTTAGCAGGCAATTAACTTGGTTATACTCAAACTGTGTACTGTCATACCTTCAGTTGGCCACACCTCAATCAGTTCACTTCTTTAAGCCTCATTTGCAAGCCACATTTAGTTTGCTCTGCACATGCATTGTTAATGAATTAGCTGAAGACTCGTGCCAAGTTTAAACTTAAAATTAGGCAGTCTTCTCTGGCTCTGTCCTTTTTAAGCTCCCTCTCTCACTCTGCAGCAGCTCTGTACCACTGCTGTGGCCTTATAGTTGTACTCCTTTTTGTAGTCTAATTTATCCAGTTTACTTTCCAACATGGTTTTTTCCTAAATCCAAATCATTAACCACATTTTGTGTATTGCTTAATACCCATCATTGGTTTCCTGGTTCCTTTAGGATAAATTCCTAACTTCTTAGTAGCCTATACAAAGTACACCTCTTGCTGCCTCTGTCTCTTCCAGGCATTTATGCTCCATATGCGCTGAATGTCTTGTGGTTTCCCAAGTGCCTCAGTTTTCCCAAACTCCTATGCCTGGGAATCCAAAACTTTTTGAGTGTCAACATGACGCTCAAAGGAAGGTGCTCACTGGACCTTTTCAGATTTTGGATTTTGGGTTACTCGACCTGCATAACTTTTTAACTATTCTCACTAGACTCTGAGCTCCTGTATGGAGGGCAAACTATATGTACACACACACACACACACACACACACACACACACAAAATCCTGTACATTGTATATTTATTTTTACCAGAGATTAAGGGTTATAGATTAGGAATTTAATGATTAAGGGCCCTATATTTTACCTTTCCTCATTGATTTTGATCATTTGTATGAGCCAGAACTGTCTATCTTCATTATATTTAATTATCTTTGAAGTGTATATAATATATTTACATTTTTGATTTTATGTGTTTTGAGCCTCGGTCATTATTTTCACACTAAAAAGCCATAAGTAAGACCTAGGATTTTACTTCAAGTAACTGATGATTTATACCTCCCTGTTGAACAGTTTCCCAACCATGGCACTATCAACATTTTGAGCTGGGTAATTCTTTGTTATAGGGGCTGTTCTGTATTCCGTAAGATGTTTAGCAGTATCTTTGTTCTTTACCTACCAGATGCTAGTAACAAATTTGTACCCCCATCCCCAACTGTGACAATAAAAAATGTCTTTAAGCAATACCAAATATTTCCTGGGGAGCAAAATTGCCCACAGTTGAGAGTCACTGCTGTAGAACTCTCAACAGAAACCTAATTCATGAAATGCCCAACTGTTGTGCCTGTTAGAAACATTGTACTGGAACCTACTTAAAGGGTAGAAGGTGGGAACAGGGGAAGGAGCAGAAGAAAATAACTATTGGGTACCAGGCTTAGTGCCTGGGTGATGAAATAATCTGTACAACAAATCCCCATGACACAGCAAACCCCTATATAATAAATCTGCACATGTACCCTTGAACCTAATAGTTTAAAAAAAAGAATCAATGTCTATTTATTATATTCTCTCTGGTTAAAAGCATATGATGTTGTTCCAATTCTTAAATAATTACTTTTGGTCTTGCGTAACTCTTTTGCGAAACTTAAATGTGTTTGTTTAACCTTTACCTCATTAGTGGTACTACTTCTTGCGTCTGCGTTCCTTTCTCCCTGGGCTTATTTAACTACTGAACCTTCTGGAGAAAATAAGAAGAGTGGGCCGGGCACGGTGGCTCAAGCCTGTAATCCCAGCACTTTGGGAGGCCGAGACGGGCGGATCACGAGGTCAGGAGATGGAGACCATCCTGGCTAACACGGTGAAACCCCGTCTCTACTAAAAAAAAAAATACAAAAAACTAGCCGGGCGTGGTGGCGGACGCCTGTAGTCCCAGCTACTCTGGAGGCTGAGGCAGGAGAATGGCGTGAAGCCGGGAGGCGGGGCTTGCAGTGAGCTGAGATCCGGCCACTGCACTCCAGCCTGGGTGACAGAGCGAGACTCCGTCTCAAAAAAAAAAAAATAAGAAGAGTGGGGATGATGAAATTTTTCAGTGCCGTGTTCCACATATTTTAAGCTTTAAAAATCATTACTGACAGTGGTTAGGGAGAGGAGCAGACTTCTGTTAACTTAGTCTGCATTTGATATAATATGAAAACTGTTAGTCACGGTGTTACTCACATCTCAAATTTCTTTGGGTTGTTTTCTTTAATTTTGCCTCTTCTTTTTCTTTTTCTTTTTATTTTTTATGTTCTTCAGGCTATTCATACTCTTATGGAAAATGCTGTGCAACCCTTACTCACTTCTGTGGGAGATGCTATAGAGGCCATAATCATCACCATGCATCAAGAAGACTTTTCTGGGTAATTACTTTTAACCAAATTTTTACTAACTTTTACTGCCTTTGTTTTGTATTCCCACCTCTATGCTTACTCCCTAAGCTGCGGCCCTGCCATCCAAGGCCTTGTTCCTTTTGTGATGGCATTAGCTTTCAGCCCTCTTCATTACCCATTGTGAGCGCCATTCACAGATTAAAATTTTTCTGTTCTCATTTTCATCACTTCTCTCCTCTTTTTAAAAATTTTTTCTTTATGAATAGTATCACATTACATGTACATACATTTCTGTCTTATTGAAACATAAAATGAGTCTGTGGGACTCAGCCTGGTACTTCAGGACTTTTGGTAGTTTGTACCCTCTTCCCTTTCCAAGCTTGTCCTTTTCCTTACTTCTCACAAATACCCTCTACTTCAGTCCCTTTGTTACCCCTTGGCATAGGCATGGTATTCCTTGTATAAAATGCCCTGCCTCTGCCACTGTGCTTATCCAAATCCTGCTTTGGCTCTGGGCAAGCTCCGACTCAGCCTCTTCCAAGGTTGATTTTTCTTCCTCGGAGGTTATGTGGCAATCTAATCTGATCACATCACACCTAGCCACAAATACTACAGTGTTATTCCAAACCTGTTTCATATGTGTCTTGCTCATGCATGTCATAGGTATCCTGAGAATAATAATCATAGTTCCTAACCTAGTGTTTACAGAAATCTTTTAAAATGGAGTAAAATGGTTTTGGTTCAGTGTATTAGAAAACTGTGGAGCATTTAGGATAGTTATTTGCAAATGTTTGCTGTGATTTTTAAAAAACTTAATCACACTACAGCTAAACACTCAAATATTAATATGTAGATATATATTTTATAGTCCCAAGTCCATAGTGACTATTTTTGAACAGTCCTATTTCTCTTTACATTCTTGTTGTTTTAAAGAATATCTGTTTTATGAAATTTCCATCTACTAGTTTAGCTGTTTATAGAAAAATATTATTTCACTGTCTTCTACTTTTTCAAATTATTCATTATTTCATTTACAAAGTTTCTTTTTTTTTTTTAACTTTTATATTAGGTTTGGGGGCACATGTGAAGGTTTGTTATACAGGTAAACGCATGTCATGGGGATTTGTTGTACATATTATTTCATCACCCAGGTGTTAAGCCCAGTACCCTGTCATTATTGTTTCTGCTCCTCTCCCTCCCACCCTCCCCCATCAAGTAGACCCCAGTGTCTGTTGTTTCCTTCTTTGTATTCATAAGTTCTCATTATTTATCTCCCACTTATAAGTGAGAACATGTGGTATTTGGTTTTCTGTTCCTGCAATAGGTTGCTGAGAATAATAGCCTGTAGCTCCACCCATGTTCCCGCAAAAAACATGATCTTGTTATTTTTATGGCTGCATAGTATTCTATGATGTATATGTTCCACATTTTCTTTTTCCATTATGTCATTGATGGGCATTTAGGTTGATTCCATGTCTTTGCTATTGTGAATAGTGCTGCAGTGAACATTCGCATGCATAGGTTTTTATGGTAGAATGATTTATATTCCTCTGGATATATACCCAGTAATGGGATTGCTGGGTCAAATGATAGTTCTGCTTTTAGCCCTTTGTGGAATCACCATACTGCTTTCCACAATGGTTGAACTAATTTACACTCCCACCAACAGTGTATAAGTGTTCCCTTTTCTCTGCAACCTCGCCAGCATCTGTTATTTTTTTGCCTTTTTAATGATAACCATTCTGACTGGTGTGAAATGGTATCTCATTGCGGTTTTGATTTTTTTCTTTTTTTTTTTGAGTCGGAGTCTCGCTCTGTCACCCAGGCTGGAGTGCAGTGGTGGGATCTCGACTCACTGCAAGCTCCGCCTCCCGGGTTCACACCATTCTCCCGACTCAGCCTCCCCAGTAGCTGGGACTACAGGCGCCCGCCACCACACCCGGCTAATTTTTGTGTTTTTAGTAGAGACGGAGTTTCACCTTGTTAGCCAGGATGATCTCGATCTCCTGACCTCGTGATCCACCCGCCTCGGCCTCCCAAAGTGCTGGGATTACAGGCGTGAGCCACCGTGCCTGGCCTTGATTTGCATTTCTCTAATGATCAGTGGTGTTGAGTATTTTTTCATGTGATTGCTGGCTGCATGTATGTCTTCTTTTGAGAAGTGTCTGTTCATGTCTTTTGCACACTTTTTAATGGGGTTGTTTTCTTTTGTGAATTTGTTTAAGTTCCTTATGGATTCTGGATCTTAGACCTTTGTCAGATGCATAGTTTGCAAATATTTTCTTCCATTCTGTAGGTTGTCTGTTTACTCTGTTGATAATTTCTTTTGCTGTGCAGAAGCTCTTAGGTTTAATTAGATCCCACTTAGCAATTTTGGCTTTTATTGCAATTGCTTCTGGAGTCTTTGTCATGAAATCTTTGCCTATTCCTTTGTCCAGGATAGTATTGCCTACGTTGTCTTCCAGGGTTTTTCTAGTTTGGGGTTTTACATGTAAGTCTTTAATCCATCTTGAGTTGATTTTTGTGTACGGTGTAAGGAAGGGGTCCAGTTTCAATCTTCTGTGTATGACTAGCCAGTTAGCCCAGCACCATTTCTTGAATAGGGAAACTTTTCCCCACTGTTTGCTTTTGTCAGCATTATTGAAGAGCAGATGATCACAGATGTGCAACCTTATTTCTGGGCTTTCTATTCTGTTCCATTGGTCTGTGTGCCTGTTTTTGTACCATTACCATGCTGTTTTGGTTATGGTAGCCTTGTAGTATAGTTTGAAGTCAGGTAACGTGATGTCTCCAGCTTTGTTCCTTTTGCTTAGGATTGCCTTGGCTATTCAGGCTCTTTTTTGGTCCCATATGAATTTTAAAATAGCTTGGTTTTAGTTCTGTGAAGAATGTCATTGGTAGTTTGATAGGAATAGCACTGAATCTGAAGATTGCTTCGGGCAGTATAGCCATTATAATGATACTGATTCTTCCTATCCATGAGCATGGGATGTTCTTCCCTTTGTTTGTGTCTTCTCTGATTTCTTTGAGCAGTGTTTTGTAGTTCTTATTGTAGAGATCTTTCACCTCCCTGGTTACATGTATTCCTAGATGTTTTATTCCTTTTTTGGCAATTATGAATGGGATTGCCTTTCTGATTTGGCTTTCAGTTTGGCTGTTGGTGGTGCATAGGAATGCTAGTGATTTTCGTACATTGATTTTGTATCCTGAAACTTTGCTGAAGTGTATCAGCTGAAGGAGCTTTTGGGCCAAGACTGTGGGGTTTTCTAGATATAGAATCATGTCATCTGCAAACAGAGATAGCTTAACTTCTTCTCTTCCTATTTAGATGTTCTTTATTTCTTCCTCTTGCCTAGTTGCTGTGGCTAGGACCTCCAATACTGTGTTGAATAGAAGTGGTGAGAGAGGGCACACTTGTTTTGTGCCGGTTTTCAAGGAATGCGTCCAGTTTTGGCCCACAGTTGGCTGTGGATTTGTCATGGATGGCTCTTACTATTTTGAAGTATGTTCCTTTGATACCTAATTTATTGAGAATTTTTAACATGAGAAAGTGTTAAATTTTATCAGAAGCCTTTTCTGGGTCTTTTGAGATAATCATGTGGTTTCTGCCTTTAGCTCTGTTTTTGTGATGAATCACATTTATTGATTTGCATATGTTGAACCAGTCTTGTGTCCCGGGGATGCAGCCTCCTTGATTGGCCTGAAGTTTTCTTTTTTTGTTGTGTCTCTGCCAAGTTTTGGTATCAAGATGATGCTGGCCTCATAGAATGAGGGTTGGGGAGGAGTCCCTCTTCCTCAATTTTGTGGAATAGTTTCTGTAGGAATGGTACCAGCTCTTTGTACATATGGTAAAATTCGACTGTGAATCCATCAGACCTCAGACTTTTTTTAGTTAATCAGCAATTCATTACTGATTCAATCTCGGAACTCATTACTAGTCTGTTCAGGGAATCAATTTCTTCCTAGCTCAGTCTTGGGAGGGTGTATGCGTCCAGGAATGTATCCATCTCTTCTAGATTTTCAACTTTTTGTGTATAGAGGTGTTCATAGTAGTTTCTATTTTTTTTTTTCCTGTAGAGTCAGTAGTAACATTTTCTTCTTCGTTTCTAGTTGTGTTTATTTGATCTTCTCTCTTTTCTTCTTTATTAGTCTAGCTAGTGGCCTATTTTATTAATTTTTTTACAAAAAATCCACTCCTGGATTCATTGATCTTCTGAATGGTTTTCATGTCTCTGTTTTCCTCAGTTCAGCTCTGATTTCTGTTACGTCTCATCTTCTGCTAACTTTGTGGTTGATTTGTTCATGCTTTTCTAATTCTTTAAGTTGTAAAGTTAGGTTGTTAATTTGAGATTTTTTGGCTTTTTGATGTCAGCATTTAGTGCTATGAATTTCCCTCTTAACACTGCCTTAGCTGTGTCCCAGAGATTGTGATATGTTGTATCATTGTTCTCGTTATTTTCAAAGAACTTTTTTTTTTTTTTTTTGAGGTGGAGTCTTGCTGTGTCACCCAGGCTGGAGTGCAGTGGCGTGATCTTGGCTGACTGCTGCCTCCACCTCCTGGGTTCAAGCGATTCTTCTGCCTCAGCCTCCTGAGTAGCTGGGATTACAGGCTCACACTACCCCTACGCCCAGCTAATCTTTGTATTTTTTTTAGTAGAGACAGGGTTTCACCATGTTGGCCAGGCTGGTCTCCAACTCCTAACCTCAAGTGATCTACGTGCCTCAGCCTCCCTAAGTGCTGGGATTACAGGCATGAGCCATCACGCCCAGCCCAAAGAACTTCTTGACTTCTGCCTAAATTTCATGTATTTACCCAAAAGTCATTCAGGAGCAAATTGTTTAATTTCCATGTAATTGCATGGTTTTGAGCGATTTTCGGTCTTCTGTTTTTATGGTACTGTGGTCTGAGAGTGTGTTTGGTATGATTGTGGTTCTTTTACATTTGTTGAAGATTGTTTTATGTCCAGTTATGAGGTCAATATTAGTGGTTGTGGCCAAAGGTCGTTTGCTTGTCTCCTGGGGGCTCCACCCCAGACAGATGCATGTTAGCAATCACTCAGAGCAATCAGCGGAGGTGGGGAGGGTCTAAGCTGTGGGCCTAGCAGGGAGGGTCTGTGCTGTGGGCCCAAGCCAGGGGTTCCCTTGGTGACAAGCAGTGGGTGAGGGGCAGGGAGACCTGTGGGAGACAGACTGGCTTCCTCTTCTTGGGTTGACTGCAGCTTGTTGGAGGTGTGGATAAGGTGCTTAGGGTCTTTGCTCTTTCATTAATCCAAGGGTGACAAGGGCAGTTCCACTGCAGGGGCAGTGGCAAAGAGGCTCTCAGCTGCCGCTGGAGGCTCTGTGCTTGGAGTTGCCGAGTTGCCTCTGGCTTGATAGCTGTGGCTGGGGATGGCTAGAGGCCCAGGCCTGCCTGGTGAAGAGATATTGGAACAGGTACCCATGTAACAGTCTGGCCACTTTTCCGTAGGGCTGCTGCAGTATGCTTGGGGCCCACTCCAGTCCCTAGTAGACTCGCATTTTCCAGTGTTTGGAGTTATCACCGGTGAAAGCACTTCTCTAGGCAGTGGGGTTTCCCCTGGCTCTGTATTGCTCCCAGGTGGGCTGTTGTCCTGTTTTGCTTTTCTTCATTCTCTGTCGGTCAGGTTGTTTCCTTGATTGGTCCCTATCCGACTAGGTTTCTGGATGTTTCAGTTGAAGGTGTTGTATTTACTCACCTCTTCTGTTCCCCTCCATGAGAGCCACGTACACTAGCTGCTTCTAATCGGCCATATTGGCTTCTCCCACATGGGAAATACGGGAAATGTCAAAAGATCAATCTAGGCTGGGCACAGTGGCTTATGCCTGTAATTCCAGCCCTTTGGGAGGCTGAGGTGGGCAGACTGCTTGAGCTCAGGAGTTGGGGACCAGCCTAGGCAACATGGTGAAACCCTGTCTCTACAAAAAATACAAAAATGAGCTGGATGTGGTGGTGTGCATCCGTAGTTCCAGCTATTTGGGGAGCTAAGGCAAGGGGATGGTTTCAGCCTGAAGGAATTGAGGCTGCAGTGAGCTGTGATCGTGCTATTGCACTCCAGCCTAAATGACAATGTGAGACCCTTTCTCAGAAAAGGAAAGACCAGTCTCTATTTTTAAAAATATGTGAAGCACAGAACAGTAAAGTGAATTCTACCAAAAAAATACTGTATTTGGAACTCACTATGACATAGGACTATATAACTTCTGATTACCAATATTTAAGAGGAAATGGTTTTTGTTCAAAAGTGATCTGAACTGTCCCAGTTAGATCAATCATGAATGCCTCTCAGAAGGGAACCAAAACAAGCTGATTTTTGAAGGCTTATTCTATAATAACAGTGGTCACATACTTTTAATGTAATTGGTGAGCTGCAACTAGTGCCTATAGATAACACATTAGACATTAATAGCTGAAAGTTAGTTCCCAAATAGGTATGTTTTTACTAACTTGCTTAAATACTAGTGAGCCAAACTGTTTCTTCAACTGATAGGTTGCCATGAGTATGAAGCATTATTTTAAGGTGCCTAACATTGTCCTTGTTTTTTTTTTCCCAGTTGCTTTGGTGACTTCATTTTGGCTCAGTGTATACAACAGTCAATTGAGATTCATGTATACAGCAGTCAGTTGAGATTCCAGTGAAAATTATTCTCCATCTATAGCAGTACAGGCGTATGGAGCACTGCTGCTTTTATTTAAATTATTGCCCCCATGGCAATAATTTTCCTACTTTGTAGAATCTTGTGATTAGTAATTCTGTAATGTCATGTTGTTTCATATGTAAATGGCTTATGTGAAATATGCGGTGGAGTTGGATTAGTCAAGAAGCAGGAATTGCCTTTATTTTAGGGCCAGCTCCCAGGGATAAAAAACAATAGTGAAAACCTGACCCTTCAAGCCCTCCATACCTATTCCTATGTAAAAGCAATAAATAAAGTTTACCTTCAAGTCCAACTTATATGTAGTAGGGTTACAGACTCCCCTGCTATTTAAAGAGTAATTATGGGCTGGGCATGGTGGCTCACGACTATAATCCCAGCACTTTCAGAGGCGGAGGCAGGCAGATCACTTGAAGTCAGGAGTTCGAGACCAGCCTGGCCAACATGATGAAACCCCATCTCTACTAAAAATACAAAAATTAGCCCGGTGTGGTGGCAGGCAGCTATAATCCAAGCTACTCAGGAGACTGAGCCAGGAGAATCGCTTGAACCCTGGAGGCGGAGGTTGCAGTGAGCTGAGATCGAGCCGCTGCATTCCATCTAGCCTGAGCGACAAAGTGAGATCCTGTCTCAAATAAATTAAATAAATAAATAAGTAAGTAAAGGGTAATCATCAACATGGTTTCTTGGTATTTGAAATTCATTTAAAAAGACTGATGTGTTTCTTTCCAGATTAAAGTTTAAAATGTAAATGTCTGATTGACATAGAACATTGATTAAAATTGTTGCAGTCAATGTAAAGTGACTCATATCGGATTTCAGTTTTGAGTAGGGAAGAGAAGGCAGTGAAAGAAGAACTCTACATCATTGAAGTGATAGATGAGCCCCTTTGTGGAAGGGAGAGCACTCACACAAAAGATTAATGGCATGAAGATTACCATTCACTTCTCAGTTATGCATATGTTTAATTATTCTATTTATATATATTTGTCCACAAACCAAGTCTGAACAAATTAAAGAGAGCTGAAATTAAATATCTTTTCTAATCACAATGGTATGAAACTAGACATCATTAATAGGAGAAATCTTGGAAATTTCGCAAATATGTGAAACTTAACCAACATGGTCCTGAACAACCAATGGATCAAAGGAGAAATCAAAAATATCTTGGGACAAATGAAAATGGAAACAAAATGCATTTTGTTTAAACAAGGAAGTAAAAGATCTATACAATGAAAACTATAAAACATTAATAAAACATTAATGAAAGAAACAAAGACACAAATAAATGGAAAGATATTCCGTGTTCATGAATTGAAAGACTATCATTAAAAGGTCCACACTACCCAAACCAGCCTTCAGATTTAATGCAATCTCTACCAAAATTCCAATGTCATTTTTCACAGAAATAGAAAAAAAAATCCTAAAATTCATACGGAACTACCAAAATCTCTGAATAGCCAAGGCAATCTTGAGCAAAAATAAAGCTAGAGGTATCACACTACCTAATTTTAAACTATATTACAGAGCTACATGATGATTAAAATGGCATGGTGCACTGGCATTGACCAATGAAACAGAACAGAGAGCCCAGAAATGAGCTCACACATTTACAGTCAATTGATTTTCAACAGAGATGCCAGGAACACATAGTGGAATAAGGACAGTTCCTTCAATAAATATGTATTAGTAAAACTGGATATCCACATGCAGAGAATGAAATTGGACCTTTATCTCACACCATATGTGAAAATCAAATTAAAATAGATTTAAAACTTAAATGTAACACCTGAAACTAAAACAAATTAAAGAAAACAGGAAAATCTGAGGAATAACTTTTTTGGATTTCATCCCAAGAGCTCAGACTACAAAGCAAAAATAGACAAATGTGATTACATTTATCTAAAAAGCTTCTGAACAGCAAAGAAAACAAGAGTGGAGTGACAACCTCTGGATTGGGGAAAATATTTACAAGCCATACGTCTGATACGGGGATTAACATCCAAAATATATAAGGAACTCAAATCAATAACAAGAAAACAACCTGATTTAAACATAGGCAAAGGACCTGAATAGACATTTCTCAAAAGAAGACATACAAATGACCAACAGATATGTGAAAAAATATTCAACATCACTATACGTCAGGGGAATGCAAATTAAAACCACAATGAGATTTCACCTTACACCTGTCAGAATGACTTATCAAAAAGATGAAATATACCGAGTGTGAAAGACGATGTACAGAAAAGGGAACCCTTGTATACTGTGGTTGGAATGTAAATTAGACAGCCATTATGGAAAACTGTATGGATGTTTCTCAAAAACCTAAAAATAGAACTACCACATGATCCAGCAGTCCCACTTCTGGGTACATAACCTAAGAACTTGAAATCAGTATGTCAAAAAGATATATGCACTTCCATGTTCGTTGCAGCATTACTTACAAAAATAGCCAAGTTATGGAATCAATCTAAATGTTCACCAACATTTAGACTGGCAGATGGATAAGGAAAAGATGGTACACATACACAATGGAATACCATCCAGCCTTCAGAAAGACAGGAATTCTGTTAATTGCAACAACATAGATGAACCTAGAGAACATTATGCTAAGTGAAGTAAGCCAGACACAGAAAGACAAATACCACATGACCTCACATATCTGTTGTCTACAACAATCGAACACATAGAAACAGAGTAGAATGGTAGTTAGCAGCAGCTACGGGGTGGAGGGAATAGAGAGATGTTGGTCAAAGGGTACAAAGTTGCAGTTAGGAGAAATAAATGATAAGTATTTAAGGTGATGGGTATGCTGATTACCTTGATTCAGTCATTCCACACTGTTTACATAAAACATTACTGTGTATCCCCTTATTATATATTGTTGTAATTCATCAAAAGTAAACATTAAAAAATGAAACAGATTGGCACCATTTTCGGGGAGGGAGACTTCCTTTTATTTGTTTGTTTTTGCAGCCTGGCCTTGTGGAGTGACAAACCTAGAGTAAAGCTAGCTATGCAGTTGTCTGAATCTGGCAAAACCAAACTCCACACGAAGATGGCCATCATTTACTAAGGCTCCCCTGTACCCAAGCGCCACTCCACCATGTGATGATACTGCAAACAAAAATGTTCCACCATGCACCCTTTGGCAGCCTTTCTGTTGTTGGCACAGTCTTATACCTGTATGCAATCCCTTCCTGCTGGAACACAGGCCTGCTTTTTCTATCTCTATCTGCTTCTGGAAGTGACGGACCTCTGGTTAGCATCCTATTTATAGCAACCACTGCTGTATTTGAAGATAATTAAGTTCAACTCATTCTCTTGCTCTAAGCATTTTAGTCATATCTGTTGTTCTTCTATACACTATCACCAATATCTCTACGTCATTCTCAGAATATGGAAACACTTAACTTGCTTTTTGAAAAAGATTCAGCATGATGTAGCCAGTGATCTCATTTATTAGAAAATATCAGGTGTTAGCTAGTTTTGGCATATCTCTTTCCTATAAATATTTCACATTCCTTTAATATATTCTTTAAAAAGCAATTATAAACATTTATAAATTATAAATAGTATTTCGTGGAGCATCAGCTGGTATCATTTGTTGATCCAAATTAAAGTCTTTCCAAACCTCATCATCTGGAGGAAAAACTGCATACCATGTGTACTGTTACATAACCATTTCCACAGTCAGAATTCTGTTGGACTGATCTGATTAAATAGCACAAGAGCAGAGAGATCTTTGCCAAGAATTTGTATAGGAAAAGCAGCATTTTCTGCCATTGCAAAGTATAAAATGCTATTTCAGGATCCATTATTGATGCATTCATTTACCAGGCAAAACATGTGAGTGGATGGAGAGTTGAGAGACTGGGAGGGACCTTGAGAGGCCAGAGAGTAGAACTTGTATGATTCATCTAAGACAGATGGTTGTCTATTTCATTCTCAATAATCTTTAGGTAAATGGATTCTAAAATTCCTTCAGTAATCCTCCTGGCATCTAAATCACTTTTTAAAATGTAATTTTTAAACATTGTTTTCTGCTAACACTTATCAAAAAATAATGTCTTTTATACCATTAAAGGGAAAAATTACAAAGGATTGAAATAGCAGCATTGGTGGGGAGAGGGGTACAAAATCAAAGAGTGTAATTTAGTGCATCGGTGTTGAAAAGGGCTGCTTTTTCTTTTACAGGTCATTATCCAGCTCAGGAAAACCTGATGTTCCTTGTTCTCTGTACATGAAGGAGCTACAAGGCTTCATTGCCAGAGTTATGAGTGACTATTTTAAACACTTCGAATGCTTGGATTTTGTCTTTGACAACACCGAGGCTATTGCCCAAAGAGCAATTGAACTTTTTATCCGCCATGCCAGTCTCATAAGACCTCTTGGTGAAGGTGGGAAAATGCGACTTGCTGCTGATTTTGCACAGGTACATTGATGAATTACTACAAAAGAAAAAATGTTTTGGCCTATTATCCGTTAAATGAATTAATTATCTATTAAATGAAATATTAACATTTCATTTAATGAATGAATTAAATGAAATTTAATACCTATTAAATGAAAGACTGTTTTCATCAGTGTTTTTAAAGAGTTGCAGCACAAAGAAAAGTAAGCCCACTTAAGCATAAATGGTTAAAAAAAAAAAAAAAGGAGAAGTTTAAAGATACTTTTATACCAGGTATATTTTTCTTTGTATTTAACAAAATAATTATCCCTCTCTTTGGTATTTCAAGGTTAAGGTGAAATAACTCATTCCACAGGAAAGCAGCACTTCCCATTTTTACTTAATATGGGATTTTCTCACTATTTTACTGTCACAATAGGTCAAATCTTGCTGGCCAATAATGTAGGCAATGAAATCATATTTCAAACAGTGAAAAGAGACCGCTTGTTGCCCTGTCACTGTTCCAAGGCAGTTTTCCCATTCATTTAAATGCACAGTAGGCCAGGTAGACAGAGTCTGATTATTTGTTCTCTCTCTATCAGGTAGGGTACAGTTCTTCTCTGTGGCTAGCCTTGAAATCATTTCAAGCTATCTGATGTGTGTGAGAGATAGAATGACATTAAAATAGCAAAACATTATCAGCACTTATAGAAAGCATTTTCTTTGTCCTTTAGATAGATTTTTTAAAGCCTTTCAGTAGTATCAGAGGCAATGAAGAAAAACCCCAAATACGCTTTCATTAAAAGATTCAGAAACAAAGATGATTGTTATTTTTGTATAGCATACCAAGGGTAAAATCTTTTATTTTATTTTATTTATTTATTTATTTTTTGAGACGGAGTCTTGCTCTGTCACCCAGGTTGGAGTGCAGTGGCACGATCTCGGCTCACTGCAGCCTCCACCTCCTGGGTTCGAGTGATTACTGTGCCTCAGCCTCCTCAGTAGCTGGAACTACAGGCATGCGCCACCACGCCTGGGTAATTTTTGTATTTTTAGTACCGACAGGGTTTAACCATATTGGCCAAGCTGGTCTCAAACCCCTGACCTCGTGATCCACCCGCCTCGGCCTCCCAAGTGTTGGGATTACAGATGTGAGCCACCACGCCCAGCCGGGTAAAATCATTTTTAAGCCTTTCAAAGCTATTAGCTTTACTAGTCTAAATAGTTACTGAAATGAATTCTTCATAGCAGTTTGCCAGATCCTCCCTGCTTATAAAGATAAATGTTAATGTCAATCTTTATTCTTGTGTGTATCTGGGAGTGTGTCTTGCTTCATTATTTCTGCATGGAGGAAAGGACTTGGACAGACTGCTTGCATCAGGTCAGTGGTTGTCAGGTGCTCACGCAGACTTGATACACTTTCAAAAAAGGAACAGGTAACACAAACCTAAACTTTCAAGAGCCTGGTTCATTGCAAATTAACTGATGCAGCAGTTAGTCATTTTCATTTCCAGATAACATTCCTGGGGCCATTAGACCATAGAAATGAGCCTTCATTTGGAAAATATGCTTGTAGTAGCCACAGCATAAAAACAGAAATTAAATGTTACCGTTAATATGGCTCTTTTTACCTTTTACATTTTATGAACTTCATTCTTAGGCACCCGTACATTTTACTTTGTTTTACAGATACACTTAGCTTAAAGAAAATTATTTGTCAATAGTGTCTTATTTGTCCCTTACTGGAGTTTCAGATTATTTGTTAAAAATCTGGTGACGTACTAGAACCTCCTCTTATTTGTTTAAAAAAAAAAAAGTGTAAACTATACTCAGATGGTCTCTGTTCTCCTCTTCCGCTTTCCTCCTTAATTTTGTTTTTCTTTTTGTTTCATCTTCTTTCCCTGGACTCTCTCCCCTACCAGCTTATTTGCATTCTGCTCCAGCTGGTTCTTGAGTCACTTTCCTGGAGGCAGCACTTCAAGTCCAATTAGAGTGGCAGCCGAGCAGGAGATGGCCAAAACGAGAGTGCTGTAGGAGAGAGGCTTGTTTTTGTTTTTTTATTTTAATAGGTTCCCTTATGGGTCTTGAAAGATGGAAAGTATTGTCCTTTAACCCTTGCTGCTGCGGCTAACAGCTACTCAAAATGCATAGCATCCAGTGGCAGGGGTGAGCTTCCACCTTCCAAAAAACTGCATTATTCAAAATGTTATTTGGCATCGTTTTTTCTTAAGACATGTTGTTCAATAAGCCAAACTTTTCTGGGTCCCTTCCCTTAAGGTAAATTAAACCCATCAGTCATTATTACTAACGTATGCTCAAAAGCCTCTGTTTTCTATTCTTTAAATATAGAAGAAGCATTAAAACACACAGCATTTACTCAGTGTTAAGCCCTGCAGTGACATTAGGTTGCGGCAGGCAGTGTGGTATTGAAAAGCAGATTCCTTTGGTCACCCCTGTACAGTGTGTCCCAGTTTCAAAACATCCTGGCACTCACCTTGGGGACGGCTCCAGTCCTGTGGATCATGGGTACAGCAAAGACAGGCGGAGGCACTATCATAATTAATCAGATCTGTGATCAGTATCTGGCAAATACTGTTCTACTGTTATGTCATGATCTCCCCCACCCACTTTTTAAATTAAAACTTGAATTTCAAGGTTTTACTTCATTTGGTTTGGTTTCTTGCCACAGTTGCAATTATGTGTTGTACCTCAGCTTTCAGTATCACATTTGGTTGGAAGTGTTTTTCAGGGTCAGTCAAAACGTTTAAATAGCATTACCCTAACATTTATATTCATGACAGGCATCAACTGGGGACTAGAGGGCTTTTCAACTGCCTTATTATTGAAAGTTCTATCAATTCATATTCAAAATTAAAGCCATTGAGGTCACTGAAATAAAAAATACACAAATATTCCATGGGTTTAAAAACTGTTCTTATGATAAAAGTGCCTGCAATTCTAGTGTAAATAACAAAAAGAGAAAGCTCAAGAAGGGACCTGTAGACCAGGTTTGGGAATACTGGTTATTTGCCATAAAGTCCAATTGCAAAGACAGATAATGACGTATTTTAAGGATTTCTTTAAGAATCCTAACTTCTCCTCACTGGCACCAGTGCAGGAAAGAGAAAGTAGTTGCAGGGTGCCATCTGGAGGGATCATGGTGAGGGAAGTACCTGACATCCAGCCCCCTTAGGAATCCAGGTCATGGGCATGAGGTGGTTTCCTACAGGTAATTAATTCCCTGCTGTGCCCACATGGTCTCAGTGCCCACGCTGATCACACAGCAGTTTTGAAATCACTAAGCCTGTCCACAACACTGGGGTTCTGCTGATTCTGAATCTCTTGGGGTCTTGTCCACAGTGTCCTCTGAAGCACATACTCCCCCTCCACCCCTCAGTTTATTTTCTTACCTGAAGGAAAGAGTGGCTGTTGAAGTTGGTATTAAATTATTTAGTGGTACTTCTAGCAGTCTCTATTTATAGGTCTTCTGGTGCCCTTTAAGTATACGTTTATATCTATTTCACTTTGTGCCTAAAAATATTAATTTAGAAAAGAAAACAAGACAATCAGAATTCTAATTTTTGTTCTAATTCCTATTGCCTTTTCTTCTCCTGAGCAGTGTCAGGGCAGGAGTGCCCTAGGAGTATCCAAAGAAGCCCTGTGGTTAACCAAATGTCTGTGGTAGGGAAGGAACAGCTATGTAATTAGTTCACCGTGCCTGCAGCTGACCGCTCATTCTCTCCAAACGGGGGCTGGAGAGAAGCAGTTGCACATGCCACTTTTGTATCCACTGCTAATGGCAGAGTCACCTCCTCTTAACTGAACACTCTTGCCCTTTAAAACGTGGCCTTTATTGTTTAATGGAATTCTGGAAGAAGAAAACGATTTACAATATCCTAGAGGTCCTTTATGGATAAAAAATTTATTTTAAACATTTAACATTTTGAAATTGTCCTATGGCATAGAAATCTTTTACATAATCATACATTTTACAGCAATTCAAGGTCATATTTTCTCATATCATAACTTTTTCCTAGCCATTTATTTGTTTTAACATTTGGTCCTGCTCAAGTGCTAAGGCAAAGGTTGTCTTTGAAGACAGTGATTCCACTAGAGTAGTTGAGAAATTGACAAAAACAGTTCATGAAAAATATAGTTTCAGTATGTAAGAAACCATTATATATATAAAGTTAGGTATTTGAATAGAATTATATCAAAGATACAATGATAATCACATTTTTCCTTTGTGCTCAGTGTAAAGTAAGTGACACATATGGAAAGAAACCAGAAATTCCTACCCAGTGAAGAAATGAAACAGGTTCCAAAGAACAGCCTATCACCTACTATCTTTTGAGTTGGGCACACTGGCTTACAACTGTTCTGTTTTGCATTGTTGGCAAGAATCCTTTTTCTTCCTTAAATTTTTATTTTTATATTTATTTATGATTCTTCATTTTATAGAGTTTCCCAACCATGTAAGGTTTCCTTCTAGGACATACAGTATGCAATCCATGTCTTTAGTATGTTATAAGAGAAATTAACCTGGTTACTATTCATCCTCAAGACCATCCCAAGGAAGCTGCCTCCAACTCTCTCTTGACACTAAGGTCATAAGTTTGACGTAGCATTTATCATTTTGCTTAATAACAATCATCATGTGTGTATGTATACATGTTTATATATGTATATGTAGACATATACACAAATACTTTTGATTTTGTTGATAATAATCATATTGTTTGAATAAATAAATATCTCCTTCTTCATTAAATTTGAGAATTTAGTGATAGCAAGACAGTCTAATCATCTAATCATCTTATCCCCATACCTAGCTTGTACCTAGCACTAAGGCAGTCAAAGTGTCTCTCAAATGAATGATCGATTGGGTCTCTATAGTGTACCCATGGCAAGGAGAATTTAAGCAATTTTTTGTAAGGGTGGCCAGCAGGACAGAAGCCTTACATCATATGTGCTTCTTGAAGAAAGGTGCTGTACTACCAGGGAGCAGCCTATTCTCAACCATTTTCTAAATCATTCTTTACCAGAGTGCTATTTATAGCAAGAGTGGAGAAGCAGTCTATCACCTGAGTAGCATGTATGTGAAAAGTTTGCATATGCACTTGGTAGAAAAGAACAGGTAGCCTAATTAATGACAAGCAGAATTTCCAGTCAAAGGAGGAAAATAAAGAGAAGTGAAACCAAGATTTGCTAAATTCTCCAGTTAGGTAGCATATTAATTTATTAATAATTGAAAAGAGAAAAATTTTTAAACAGTGATAATAATTGCTGACAATTAACAGCACTTTTTATATGCTCTGCACATAAAGCTTTGTGGAATTATCTTTTAATTTGCATTATTCTGTTAAGTAGATACTATTATCTCCATTTTATAGACGAGAGACCTGAGACTTAAAGAGGTTAAATAACTTGTCCAGGGTCACAAACTAGTAACTAGTATCAGCATTTGGAATGCTGATATAGATGTGCTACTAAAAGCTCCAGAGTTAGTCCTTTTAATTACTTGAGCCACACTAACTGATAAAAATTGTCATCGTTTATATTGAATGTAAAAAGACTTGTAATTCCTGAAGTATAGGCGTGCAGTCTTGAAAATTTTCCTTTTCCTTATTTTTCTTTTTTTCTTTTTTTTTTTTTTTTTTTTTTTTTTTTTTGAGACGGAGTCTCGCTCTGTCGCCCAGGCTAGAGTGCAGTGGCTGGATCTCAGCTCACTGCAAGCTCCGCCTCCCGGCTTCACGCCATTCTCCGGCCTCAGCCTCCCGAGTAGCTGGGACTACAGGCGCCCGCCACCTCGCCCGGCTAGTTTTTTTGTATTTCTTAATAGAGACGGGGTTTCACCATGTTAGCCAGGATGGTCTCGATCTCCTGACCTCGTGATCCGCCCATCTCGGCCTCCCAAAGTGCTGGGATAACAGGCTTGAGCCACCGCGCCCGGCCTTTTTTCCTTATTTTTCAATGGATAAATGATCTAAACTTTTTCCTTTCATATAACAAAAATGGTTTTTTTGGTTTTTTTTCATGAAGGAATTGCCTCATCTTAGGCCCTCTCTTAGTAAATAAATGCAAAAATTATGTAAGTGCTTGCCTTTTAATAAATTTAGTTGGCTTTCACAACTTGCCTTACAGTCCAGATAAAATTAGGTTTACTGCAAGCTACAACTTTCTGTGATCCAGGTCTGTCCCATATTCCCCTAATGATTCCAACATTAAAACAATGGAGTATCTTTTAATATTTCAGATGGAGTTGGCTGTGGGTCCATTCTGTAGACGAGTATCTGATTTAGGAAAGTCCTATCGAATGCTGAGATCATTCAGGTAAGACCGAATTCTTTGTTCATACATTCATATCCTCCAGGCAAGTAAATCCTTTCTTTCTGTGCGGGTCGAACGTCATAAAATTGCCAGTATTCAACCATTTTTGATCTACAACAATGGCAGTTTCATGATTTCATCTTAGAAAGTATTCAAATCGGAAACCCACATAGAAATTTATGCAATGACTAATAAATTAGAGGGTATGTGTATTTTCTTAGTCACAGTTCACAAGATTAAGCTGGTAAATTATGCTTTTAAGAAAAGAGGATTTTTTTTTTAATTTTTAGCTTCTCATTCTTACAGAAGGGTAATACTAGGCAATTCATAATTATATAGACATCTTTTTCTGAAATGTTCATTTGTTCATTTATCATTTTTAACCCAGTCTACTTCTAGCAGGTCATAAGTTACATTCCAGTATATGGATATGATAAAAACTTTTCAATGAAGTATTAAAAGAATCAAGTTCATGGCCGAGCACAGTGGCTCATGCCTGTAATCCCAGCACTTTGGGAGGCTGAGGCGGGCGGATCACCAAAGGTCAGGAGATCGAGACCATCCTGGCCAACATGGTGAAACTCTGTCTCCACTAAAAATACAAAAATTAGCTGGATGTGGTGGTGCGCGACTGTAGTTCCAGCTACTGGGGAGACTGAGGCAGGAGAATCGCTTGAACCCGGGAGTCGGAGGTTGCAGTGAGCCGAGATCACGCCAGTGCACCCCAGCCTGGCAACAGAGCGAGACTCTGTCTCCAAAAAAAACAAAAAGAAGAATCTAGTTCAATGATGAAGTGCAGAGAACAACTATAAATGTAATAGGTAACTTAGCCTAATGCAGTAGAGCACAAAATTTTGTATTAGGTGGAGAAATCACTTTACAAAGATACACAAGAGTTGATTCATATTCATGATCTAACAGAATACCAGTATAATAGAAAGAAAAGTCCTTGTCAGTGCTGAACACTTAGATTTTTTTCAACTCAGATTTTAAGAAACATTTAATAACATTGAATAATGACTGGGGTCTTTACTAGCTGATTTTTAAAAGATAAGGAGATGTTATTCATATGGCTGTTTATTCAATAAACCAGAACTTTGTAAGTTTTTTACATCATAGCACACACAAAGGAAGATATTTTCTTTTGTTTTGTTTTTTGAGATGGAGTCTTGCTCTGTCACCAGGCTGGAGTGCAGTGGCACGATCTCGGCTCACTGCAACCTCCACCTCCCGGGTTCAAGCAGTTCTCCTGTCTCTGCCTCCTGAGTAGCAGGGATTACAGGAACATACCGCCACACCCAGCTAATTTTTGTATTTTTAGTATAGACGGAGTTTCATCATGTTGGCCATCAGGATGGTCTCGATCTCCTGACCTCGTGATCCATCTGCCTCTGCCTCCTAAAGTGCTGGGATTACAGGCATGAGCCACTGCGTCTGGCCGAAGAAGATATTTTCATTTAAAAAGGTGGCCAACCCTGATAGCTGAGGGGATCAACATAATATTTTGTGACCATAGCATACCAGATGGGAGACCTTTATATAAACTGTCCATAATATCCAAGAGCATAATGGTTGAATTTCTCTATAAGAATAAGATAACAGAGTACAGGTATGCAGCTTTCTAAAAACCAACTCAGTACTGGAAACTCGAGGATCAATAAACAGTATGTCCTTTAAATGATCACTTTGCTCTCTTATGTCATCTAACTTTTGTAGTAGAAACTTCTGGTGGAGTATAAGAAATATAAGAATCCAATATTGTTGATTGAGAGGGGAGCTTTATATTTTACCTCAACAGTTTGTAATTAGCACAGGCCTTTTTTTTTTTTTTTTTTTTTTAAATGGCAACACAAGAGTCAGGATTTTATTTTTTCTCAAATGAAAGATCACTGCCCATCTGTACAGATATGGGTTTTAGGAAAACTTAAAGTGAGTTCGCAAATGCTTTCAGATACCTTCTTTGAATCAACTCAGATCTTTTTAAAACTGTTTAAGTATTTTGTTGAAGCTATGGAGTTCTGCACTACCAAACATGGGCGAGTTGAAGGATGATGAGGTACTGAGGTTGCCAATCCATTGGTCATCTGTCTGTACCATAACTTTACTAAAACCCCCGTACAGTCATTTACTCTGAGTAAGATGGTGACACAGCAGTCCTAGCTGGGTAATAAAATGTTGCCCTGGCTGGCTGAGTCAGTTAACATACTGGAGGATATTAACCATCTAGTTATTGAAAAAGGTATGAGAAAAGCTGTGATTTGGCATTGCTGTGTGAAGATTTGGCTTTTTTTTTTTTTTTTGAGACAGGGTGCCACTCTGTCACCCAGGCTAGAGTGCAGTGGTGCGATCTCCATCTCAGCTTACTGCAACCTCCACCTTCCATGCCCAAGTGATCATCCCACCTCAGCCTCCTGAGTAACTGGGACTACAGGTGTGCACCACCATGCCCAGCTAATTTTTATATTTTTTGTAGAAATGGGGTTTCTACAAAACTAGGAGTTGCCCAGCCTGGTCTTAAATTTCTGAGCTCAATCTATCTGCCCGCCTCAGCCCCCCAAACTGCTGGGATTACAAGTGTGACAGGTATAAGCCACCACACCTGGCCTAGGCTATTATTTTTTATAGCCCCATTCCCATGTTTAGTTGTTTATTGCATGTGCATGTATAAAATAATGCTAATTCAGCCTGGCCAACATGGTGAAACACCATCTCTACCAAAACGTACAAAAATTTGTCAGGCATGGCAGCACACGCCTGTAGTCCCGCTACTTGGGAGGCTGAGGTGGGAGAATCGTTTTAACCCAGGAGGCAGAGGTTGCAGTGAGCCGAGATTGTGCCACTGCACTCCAGCCTGGGTGACAGAGTGAGATCCTGTACCACCCACTGCCCCTGCCAAAAAAAAGTTGTGCTAAGTGTCCTGTTTGCTGAGGCAGGATGGCCTTCATGTAAGTACTCTTAAAGTTGTGTCACAGTATGGAGGTAAAAGGTCTGAGGATAAGTTTCACTTAAGACATCTATTTTAAACCATTTAAGATGGGAATTTTCTGCCAACCCTTTCCAATTCTCACATGAGAAAAAGAATCTCTAAAGGAACTTTAAAGTTTGAGCGACATCTTCTAGTACCTATTTATAGAATCAAGAATCAATTGATCAATGTATAATTTTAATAGTTCTACTTTTATTTATATCTAGCTTCTCATGGAGTAACAGGTTTCAAATTTTTGACCATGACCCAGAGTAAAAGATACTTTCTATTGTAATTTGGCATATACTTGCATGCAAACATGTGAACACACTCAAATCTACATACATATACATGGATACCCATACATATGGTTCATGAAACAGTAATTACCGTTACTTCATGTGATAACCTCTAACATTTCTATTTCATTTGATTGTTTTAACTCACTAAATTAGTGTAATGACCCACTCATGGCTTGCATCCAGCAATTTCTCAACTTTCTCACAGGGCCCTTAACTCTTGAACTTTAGTTGCTCTAGTGACAGGGAGACAGGGTTTTTCCTTTCCACAAACTGAAGATTTATGCCCTTTTCTCTTGTGATTCTGGCATCTCTGAGCTTCCTCCTGCAGATGACCCCTTAGCTCCCAAGGCCTCAGGCACGTAAGAATAATTGTTTCTTGCCTATGGAGTATCCTTCATAACTTGAGTTAATTGAAAACTTCCAACAGATATTTTTATATATACCAATATATTTCTATAGTTATATTGAATCTACAGAAATCTACTGAATTAATCCTAATTAATTTCTCAGTTGTTTGATGGAACTGATACAACTATTTTATAAAAAGTGTAGGATTAACTGGATCAATAAATCAAATGAAAGTATATTAAGGGGTTCAAATCCAGCCCTGGTCTACAAAGAATGTTTTCAGTCCTATCAGTTGAGAAGAAGAGAGACGTGAGCATGTGCCGCGGCCTCTGCCCCGCACCATTGTTGGGAAAGCCCTGGCCCTGCCAGCTTCTTTGCAGTTGTCATGTGAAGAGAACTGACTTGAGAAAGCTTACTCATGTGGCGGGTCCTACCATATTCCTTCCTAGAGAGGAGTAAATCAGTACAAAGCCATCCTTATTCTAATAACCTAATTATAGGCCCTCTGTTTTGCCTACCTACAAAATCTTGTTAGAGATCTGTCTCTTCTTCAAAATGAGTCCTGAGCAGTTGCAGTGAAGAGCTTACTCTTATTAATATGTGCACTTCTTCCATCTGTGCTCTGGGCTGTGACAAAGAATAGGCATCATCCAGTGACCACGCACACATTAGACCTTGGCACTTGTTCATGGGTCTCCTCACCAAAGACTCTGAATCAAACCAAAACCAGTTGAATGGTAGTCAGTAGGAGATTGCCTGAATAAAATATGCTAAGTTCATAGGATCAAATATATGCAGATATTAACAGTAATGTTATTAGTTAATATCTGGTAAAATGAAAACTACTCCCTAGTGCATCACTAAATAAAACAGGCGACTAAGCAGTATATAGTATGATCTCTACTTTTTTTGTTTTTATTTTTTTTGAGACGGTGTCTCCCTCTCGTCCCCCAGGTTGGAGTACAATGGCGTGATCTTGGCTCACTACAACCTCCACTTCCTGGATTCAAGTGATTCTCCCGCCTCAGCCTCCTGAGTAGCTGGGATTACAGGCACCCACCACCACGCCCAGCTAATTTTTGTATTTTTAGTAGAGATGGGGTTTCTCCATGTTGACCAGGCTGGTCTCGAACTCCTGACCTCAGGTGATCTGCCTGCCTCGGCCTCCCAATGTGCTGGGATTACAGGCGTGAGCCACCGCACCTGGCTGACCTCTACTATGTTTAAAATAATAACATTTACTAGCCTCAGCAACATGGTGAAACTCTGTCTTTACAAAAGACAGAAAAATTAGCCAGGTGTGGTGGTGCACACCTGTGGTCCCAGCTACACAGTAGGCTAAGTTGGGAGGATCTGAGCTCAGGGAGATCAAGGCTGCAGTGAGCTGT